AATATACATCCCATGGTGTTTATGGTATATCCCATGGTATCCCATGGTAGTTATCAAGGATACAAATCTGGTTAAACATACTTAAGTTAATAAGTATAAGATATCAGGAAAAGCAAGCACAAGTACCAAATGATCATCTGAGAGATACAGAAAAAGCCTTTTACAAGATCCAACACACCTTGAGGATAAAAGTTCTAGAGAAGCTAAGAATATATGGAATATTCCTAATGTAATAAAGGTGTATATGGTTAATCTATAGCCAGCATTGTACTTAAAGGTTAAGAACTAAAGCCATTGCCTTAAAATCAGGAATGAGACAGGGATGTCCACTCCCTCTACTATATTCTTGAATATACTGCTGGAATTTCTAGCAAGAGCAATAAGACAAGAGAAAAACATTAAAGGAAGCCAGCTGCTGGTGGCTGATGCCTATGATTCTGGCTACTCAGGAGGCTGAGACCTGAGGATCAGAGTTTAAAGCCAGCCTAATCAGAAAAGTCTGTGAGACTCTTATCTTCAATAAACTACTTAGAAAGAGCCAGAAAGGCCCAGTGACTCAAGTGGTAGAGGCCAGCTCTGAGCACAAAGAGGCTCAGGGATAGTGGGAGCCCCTGAATTCAAGCCCCATGACCAGCAAAAACAAAAAACAAAACATAAACATAAAAGGCATCCAAATAGGGAAGAAAGAAGTAAAACTACTTCTTTTTTCAGATGACATGATCCTGTATTAATAGGACTCTAAAATCTCCTTTCCCATGCAGATCCAAAACTTTAACAAAATAGCAGAGTATATCATAACCTACAAAAATCAGTAGTTTTTCTGCTTTTCTGTAGGCCAACAACAAGAAGATCGAGAGTGAAATTAGGAAAGCAATCCCAGTTGAATTTCCTCAAGAAAAAACCCTAAGAAATAACCAAAAGTACGAAGAACATCTCTAGTAAAATCTATAAAAATGTGAAAAAAGGAAACTGAAAATTTAGGCAGATAGAAAGACCTTCCATGCTCCTGGATAGGAAGAATTAACATAATGAAATGGAACTAATTCCCCAAGCAATTTGAAAATTCAATGCAATACCCTCAAAATCCCAAAAATATTCTTGAATGAGATAGAGAAAGCAATTCAAAAATCTGTATGGAATAACAAAAGACTCTTCAAGGTCTTAGCAAGAGCAATCCTTAGCAGGAAGAACAGTGGTGGAGAATAACAAAACCAAACTTCAAACTCTAGTACAAAGCCATAGTAATAAAAACATCTTGGTACTGGTACAAAACTAAGCCTGAGTACCAATGGAACAAAAGATTCAGAAATGAACCCATAGACCTATAGCCACTAATATTCAATAAGGAAGCCAAAAATGTAGGCTGGAAGAAAACCTCTTCAACCAAAGCTGACAGCAAAACTGGAAATCCATAGGAGGAAACTGAACCAGACCCCATATATCACCTTGAACCAGCCTCAATTCAAAATGGATCCAAGACTTCAAAATAAGACTGGAAACCATGACACTTTTACAGGAATGGTAGGGGAAACACTAGGGACCCTGGGCATAGGTCAAACTGTCTAAGTAAATATCTAGATACAAAACAAATCAAAGAAATAACTGATATATATCAGATTATATCAAACTTAAAAAAATTTCTGCACAGCAAAGGAAATAGCTAACAAGATAAACAGAAGAAAAATCACAAAATGGGAGGTTTTTACCAGCTATATATCAGACAAGGGTGTAATATCCATAATACACTCTGAGGTTAAAAAATTAAACCCTCAAAAAATAAACCCTCAGAGAAACAACTCAATAAATGTGCTAAAGCCCTAAATACTGACTTCTCAGAAGAAGTAAAAATGGCCAATATACATATGAAGAAATGTTCCACGTATCTAGCCTTAAAGGAAATGCAAATCAAAACAACATTGAGATTCCACCTTACCCCAGGTAGAATAGCCATTATCAAGAAATCTAACAATAACACATGCTGGAGAAGATGTGGCCAAAAGCAAACTCTCTTATATGGTTGGTGGAAATGTAAGTTTGTTCAATCAGTTGGAAAGCAGTATGGAGGAAAGCTAAGCACAGAACTACCCTATGACCCACCAATTCCACTCCTGGGCATTTATCCAATAGAGGAGAAGCATGGATATACTACAGCTTCCAGCACAATCATATTCACGGCAGCATTATTAACCATAGCCAAGGTATGGACTCATCCCATATGTCCCTGAATGGATGCATGGATCAAGAAAATGTGGTATATATACACAATGGAATTCTACTCATCCATTAGAAAGAATGATATTGTAAAATTTGTAAGAAAGTAGAAAGACTTGGAAAAAATTACATTAAGTCAACTAAGCTAGGTCCAGAGAAATAAAGGTTGTATGGCCTCCCTCATTAGTGGGATCTAGAATGTGCTTGTAAATCTATAAGTAAACACAATGGGTGGCATGCAGTTATAAGTGAATTAAATGAAGTATAACAGGCTGTATAAAGAGTGCAAATAGTATAATTCTTCAGAAAGACTGAGTCGAAGCCAACAAAATAAGTAATAGGAAATAGATTGCTGCAGGGGAGGGGGAGAAGAGTAGAGGAATGATCAAGGGAAAGCAGTAGAATGAAGGCAAGAATGCATTGTACATACCACAGAACTGAGAAAAATAAGGGAAGGGCGAGTCAAGGGGGTTAAGATTCTGAAGGGATGATACAGATCGATTTGCACTGTATACATAAATTGTTTATTAATTTGCAAAAATAATCAATATATAACCGAAAATTTAAGAAAAATGAGGAAAGTGTTGGAAGAGTGTGCAAGAATGTGGAAAGGTGTGACATTGATTAAGAGGCACTATGTTCACTAATTGCTATGTTGAATGCCAACTCCTTTCTGCAACTATTTAAACATAATAAGAAGTGTGTTTACTCTGCTTCAAAACAAATAATTGCCATGAAAAGGCATACAGTCAGAAGTGGGGCTGTGGTTCAAGTTGTAGAAGCCAGCCTTGAGCAGGAGTTCAGGCCTCAAATAGTTTGCCAGGGGGCTATGGTATGGGACAGTAACTCTAGCTACATAGGAGCCTAAGATCTGAGGATCACAGTTTAAAGGCATCCCTGCAGGAAAGTCTAAGATATCCTTACCAAAATTAACTGCCATAAAAAAAGCTGGAAATATAGCTGTGGCTCCAGTTGTAGAGCACCAGTTTTAAGGAGAACCTGAGGGAAGTAGCCAACCTCTGAGTTCCAGCTTCAAGGTAGAAACCAACAAACAAAAGCAACACATCTTAACAGTGTTGGATTCCCTATAAAAGAGAAACAAACCAAGAAAATGAGTAGATAATGCAGAACTTTAGAACGTCTCTAGACATACTAAATCAGTGGCATAAATGAGATGTTTTACACAAAAGAAAAGGAAAACTATTAATATTTTACTTTTAATGTCTTTCCCCTTAGTGTATAAATTCTGAGAAATTCTGGAACAAAAATACTCAATTTTATGATCATTTAATACAAAAGTTCGTTAAATTGTGCTTATTTCATAAAAACAAAACAAACCAAAACCTACCACACGAATCTCATTTCTCCCATCTGTACTTTTTCCTGTGCTCTATCATGGTGTACTTTCTCTATTTGGCTCTTCATTTTGCCTGATGTTGCATCCTCGCATGACAGACAGAGAACACAAGAGCCCCAGGATTCCATAGTGGTGGTTTGTAAGAAGAAGGAAGCTACAGTAACTGCCACCCTCATTTCACTAATAGAAGAGAGAAAAAAAATCCTCCATGCTTCTGGCATGAGAATGAACGAGATAGTGCATGACTACATGGCCCAAAGAGCCGGGGGAGCAAATTATAAGCAAAATAATTGTTTAAAGTCAGAAAAAATGAAGTCTGCATCATCTGTATCTTCCACCTTTAATGTTTGCTACTAATGTGCACACACCACATTTCAAAGTTTCAGGGCAAAGCAAAGATCTCTGCTTATAGCAGTAAAAATCCATGGTATAAGAATGCAAACTCTAGTGTGCACCAGGGGCTCATGCCTGTTATAGCTTCTCAGAAGGCAGAGATGAGAGGATCACGGTTCTAAGCCAGTCCAGGCAGGAAAGTTTGTGAGACTCATATCCAATTAACGACCAAGAAGCCATATGCAGCTATGACTCAAGTGGCAGAGTGCTAGCCTTGATTTAAAAAGTAAAAGTTCTGGGACTAAGCCCTTGCCCTGAGTTCAAATCACAGGACCTATAATAAAATAAAACATAAAAGAATGTAAAATCAAGATTTCTCCAAGAAATAATTCCTAAAATAAAGAAGAGAAAAATGAAGAACAGAGGAGAGATGCAAGTCCAATCTGGTCTAGAACAATCCAGAACAACGATGTCAAAGAGAAAGCACTAGAAGGCAAGTACCTTGGCTTACAAAATTCCTTACAAGGTGCCAACAATGTACTTCACCCTGCTCTTCAATCAGGTAACAAAAGAGCTCTTTCATCCTTCTTTGGGTATTTGAAAGTTCTAGTAAGTTTACTAATTGGGTCAACAAAATGATCTTAGAACAAGTGTAAGGCTTCAACCTCAAGGATTTTTCTTTGTCAAGCACATTAACTATATGCACAAAGTAATTATAATATTTTATGAGGTGAAATATAATGGACAAATTATAAATAGCTTTAATAATGAACATTGGTGAGAAACACTGAGATGATGTCTTCCATTCAAGAGCCTAGAGGAAAGGGGATAGTATGTCTGATTTGTAGACTTCAGGTCTTCCAAGACCAAGCAGTCAGGAGTTATTAAAGCTCTCCTGCCATTCTCTACCCAATCCCTTCTTCTGGTTCAGATTCTGATCTTGTGATTGGCTACTTCAGACCTTTCAACTGCCTAACTAATGACATCATTCTCCCACCAAACCTATCACCACCTAGTAGAATCCTGGGGTTACCATGGCATCCTTCGTATATTTGCATCATCGCAAGTGCCCAGTGCCCAGTGAGCAGTATCCAGTGAGCTCCTTACTGGACACACTTGTGCTCTTTAGCTTCAGCTATCCACACATCCTCAAGTGTCATTCCTCATCCCTTGTATCTCCAGTTGATATTACCCCTTCTCTCAGCATGTCAGGTAAGGAGAAAAAGGGTTTTCTTGGTATGTGACTTAGCCACACAATTTACTCTGTGACAAAATCTGTTGCTTTGTCTGCTACATGAAGATAATAAATTGACCAACCTGGGATCACTTTGATTTCAAACACTGTGTTTACTTAAAGGGTATTTGTGGATGGAGATTGAAGCCATAGACTTCTTCAGAGTGTCAATTTTAAACCAATTAATGGAGAAGGAAATTTGGGTGCAGTGAAAACTCTATCCAAGATACTTCATCTGTAACAGAGTCCTTCAACAGCTCGTTCCAATTTAGTATTTCAAATTTAGTGTATTCAAAGAACAATATTTAAGTCTTTCAATATTTCTGCTCAACTGAGGTACAGAGAAAAACAGGAAGAGAGGAGGGATGATCACACTAGCACCAGACCAATGGTCTGGAAGGAAAAGTTCACCAGGAACCAGAGGGGTTAAGAAGAGATAAAGAGGAGGATGAGAAATAGGATAGAACCACAGCTATGAAGAGCATGGGGACATTCTCAAGAAAAGAGAGGTGGTTTAGAACGGAATGCTGAAGAAGATCAAACCTTTTAAAATCAACACACAGAAACAGAGTACAATCTAACCACAGCAAGGCAAAGTGCAGTTAGTTTTAGTCAAAGTATACATTAATGGACCACAAAGCAAATTAAGGGTAAAACAGAATAATTAGAAACAGTTTTTGAGAAGTCACTTTTAGATGGTTCTTGTTTTGTATTGCTTGTGATGTTTTATTCCAGTTGACTCTGAATACAGATGATGCTTGGAAGTGCCTTTTTCAACCTGTGAACTCATAGCACTGGCATAGCACCGGCGCCAGCCATGCCCCAGCCCTCTTTGTTTCTGTTATTTTCTAGACAGGATTTGGAGTTCTACTAGAGGCCACCTTCAAACCATGATCCTTCCAGCTATGACTCCCTTGTACCAGTGACCACAGTCATGATCCATTACAAGGGATTATGTGATTGAGATGAAATTTCACTAACCTGCCTAGAAGGCTGTGAAGCCACCATCCTGGACTGTTTCCTGAGTAGTTAGGATCCGAGAAGTGAGCTGCTGAGCCCTGCCTTGACAGTTTCTAATGTGAACATTTTAGACATGTATTGTAGAAATGGTTCTTTATAACATATTTCTAGGAAGGGTTCTTACAGAGGGTTGTGCAACATAAATTTCAGCATTACTTTTCATTCTGATTTTTAAACTTCATGGAGGTGTGTGTGTGTGTGTGTGTGTGTGTGTGTGTGTGTGTGTATTAATATCAAAGCTTATACTCTAAGTCTGGGTGCTGTCTTTAAGCTTTTTAGCTCATAGCCAGTGGTCTACAACTTGAGCCACAGCTCTACTTCCTTGTTTTGCTGCTACTTAATAGGAAATAAGAATCTCATATGGTGAGGACCAGTTTGGTACCATACCCTCAATCTTCATGTTCCTGAGTAGTTAGGATAACAGTCATAAGTGCCAGGAATGTGTATATATGAGTATATATGTATATATATATATATGTGAATATATGTATTTATATGTATATATATATTCTAACTTTCATCAGTAGTAGTTCAAATCAAAGCTGTATTTTATCCTTATAATCACTTTCTGGTTAAAACACAACAAACATAACTAGAATCAGTCCTTTGAGATCAAAAAATCATAAAGAAATATTTTTCTAAGAATAAAAAGCAAAATTTAATCTCCATGTCTTTATTTCCACATTCATTTAAACTAATTTTGAAGTCCATTTTGGTTTTTTGTATTTAAAAGAGCTGTTTGGGTATTGGAATCAGTAGCACATATGACACTGATGTGCTATCTACTGCACTAGCAAGGCATCTTCAGTATCACATTACATAAATAAAAATATAAAAGGCCTTACTTCTGTCTGGAATTGTAGCTCCTGTCTGTGATCCTAGCTACTTAGAGGGCTGAGATCTATGGATCACAGTTCTAAGGCATACTGCAAGAGTAAGAGTCTTTGAAACTATTATCTTCAATTAACCACCCAAAATGATATGGAGTATAGCTGAGGCTAAACTAGCAGTGCTGGTTGCTTTGAACAGACACACAGACCCACAGACATACACACAAACACAGACTCAGACACACAGACACACAAACACAGACCCAAACACACACAGATACACACATACACACACTAAAGGATAGCACTCAGGCCCAGAATTTAAGCGCCAGTAGCAATACCACTCAAAGAAGGTCTTTGTTGTGTTGCCAGTAAAGTAAATGATGATGATGATGATGAAGATGATGATAACAGAAAGGTAATAGTCATTTCTTTTCATGGGTGTTGATATTTGTTACGTTGAGGATGATTTTTTCTCATAATTAAACATGAAGCTAGGTTTTTAGAATAAATACGAAAACTTCCAAAACTTTTCAAAAGACTTTTTGGTGTTTCTATTTTTACTATATTAATTAAAATATCCAACTAGAACAATTAATATCTTTAAATTGGAGTGTAATATTTAGAGAAATAGGAATGGTTACAATAATAGGATTCTTTTACTTTTGGTGATTTGCTGTCCTCTGTTCCATTTTGGGCTTGTTTCTTTGCTCTAATTTTTTTTTTTTGCATTTGTGCTATGTTGCCCAAACTGGCCTTAATCTCCTGAACAAGAGTGATTCTTTAACCTCACCATCGCACATTCTAGAAATACAGAGGTGTTAGGCTTCCTACTCATTAAAAAATACTAGTGTACATCAATTATGACTGCTTATTTGGCATTACTGTTGATGTAAAAAAATTCCAAAGAGGATGAGTTACCTAACTCCCAGGATAAAAGATCAGAAAATAACTAATCATTCCCAATAAACATTAGAAATTTGAATTAAATGTACCATTTATACTATCAAAATTATGGGATAGTTAGAATAATTACAAAAGTCATGTACAGGGGGTGTATGCTGGAAATTCCAAAGCTTTGATGAAAGAAATCAAAGCAACAGTCAAGTAAATTTAGAGTTATCCATGTTTATAGAGAGGAAGACTCACTATTGTCGATTGAGGCAGGATGAATGAAGGGGAGCTATGTCAATGAGAGATAGGAGGTAGGGGTGGTGTACCTTTAAGTGGAGAAACCATATGTACTGACTTGAATTGCTTGCAAAAATGAGCTAAGTGTGGTATCTTATAGTCCATGCTATTTGGAATTCCATTCACTTGAGAAGTTGAGGTTGAAGATTACAAGTTTGCTGTCAGTCTTCTCAATTAACTGACAAACTGTCCCCAAAAAAGTTCTTAGCCAGGTGCCAGTGTTTAATACCTACAATCCTAGCTACTCAAAGGGATGGATGTGAACATGGCAGTTCAAAGGCATCCCGGTCAAGAAAGTCCTTAGGATTCTTGTCTACAGTTAACCACTAAAAGGCAGAAGTAGAACTGTGTCTAACATGGTACAATGTTAGCCTTGAGCAAAAAAATCTATGCAAATGCTATCTCTCTCTCTCTCTCTCTCTCTCTCTCTCTCTCTCTCTCTCTCTCTCACACACACACACACACACACACACATACCACAATTCAAAACCAACTTTCACTTCTGTGCTAGATTTTGGCTAAAATGAAGGAAAAATATCCTTTTGCTTAATATTGCACATACAATAACATCACTTCATTTACTGGTAAATATACTAAATGAGATTATTTGGTAATATCCAAATTATCTTTAATATCTTTGTATATTCAATTATATATCATATTTTTACATTTTGTCTAACTTTTCAGAACTGACTATATTTAGCTCTGTATCAATCATGTATGTCCCTTTTATTCATTACTCATTATTATGACTATTTGCTATTGATGGCTATTTGCCAATCGTATATTATACCATTGATGAATAAGAAGAAGCTCAGAAAGTTTCACAGTTTTCTTGCAAAAAACATTTCTTGAGAAAGTTATCTCTGTGATAGGCATTGTGACTTCAAGTCAGAAGGTAGACCTGAAGAGGTCTGACTTGACTTACCTTCTTATCTGTGTTTTAAATGAACTCTACAAGTGTCTTGCAACTTATACAAGGTGGCACAACTAAAACAACAATGAAAATAGGATCACTGTTTTCTCATGACCTACATCAACTAGCTCATAAAAAATTCTGTTTCAGCCTGGGAAGAGGGCTCGGTGGTAGAGTTCTTGCCTTGCATGCATAAGGCCCTGGGTTCGATTCCTTACCACCACATAAGCAGAAAAATCCGGAAGTGGCACTGTCCCTTAACTGGTAGAGCTCTAGCCTTGAGCTGAAGAGTTCAGGAACAGAGCCCAGGACCAGAGTTCAGGCCCCACGATGGACGAAAAAAAAAAAAATTCTAGTTTTGTTGATTGTGGTGTATTGTTCACCAGCTCAACCTTTATAGAATGGTGCTCTCATAGCAATATGAAGTAAGTACTCAAACCAATCAGGTTGACTTTTGACCCTCATTTCCTTACTCCAGAAATGGTGATCTAACAAGTGCTGTAAGGATATCTGAGATCTGAAATGCTTCTATGCTAGGAAATAAGAGCAGACTAAGGGAAAGACAGGGATGCAAAGAAGAAGCCTATTTCTACCCAGAAAACAACACAGGAACCACTTGCTCTTTTCTGTTGCACAGCTTGATCGGAAGAATAACAAATGGCTCTGACTTATAAACTGATCATAGATATATCAATGATTGTTGGTATTAGAGGACTTCTGATCATAGCCAGCTTCAAATATTCACCTCCTCAAAAAAAGTAGGCGTTGGTCAGTCTCATTCATTTTTTACCACCCTCTTGTTTCTTGCAGACAATTTCCAACATCCATCTTTACTTGGAACTGCAAACTCACCACAGCTCTCTGTTCCTGTGGTGAGCGATGCCACTTCTCTAGCAGGAAATGTCGGCAACTTCTCCAGAGCCTCAACTCCAGCCTTCACTTCAACATGGCTACTGCCATCAACCTCTGGCATCTCTTTCCAGCCACTCATGGGTACTGCCTATCTTTACCAACATTCTAGCACACCCATGCTGTCAGGAGTTACTGGCCAGAACATCTGCACTTCAGCCTCCTCTTGTCCCAGTACTTTTGAAAGGGAGTACACAGGACACACTAAAAAGAAGTCATCTGAACTTAGAGACTTCACCGTGACTCTCAACCAGGGCACAGCAGTCCCTTCAATGGCTGTGACACCACGATATGTGGATGCCAATGCCATAGTCCCTCTGTATCCATCACTGTCTGCCAGCCTGGTTCAGGGGACATTATCTCAGATTCCACATCAAGAGAGTAGCATATTACTTCCCTACCAACAAGGAAACCAGATTTACTACTACAATCAAAACACTATGGGCCCTCTGTTGTTTGGAGAGCCTGGTCCCTGCCTGCAATCATATGGCTCTGTGTCCTACACAGGGAGTGGGTTCTTTGCTCCTCAGCCTGAAATAGTGATGACACTCCAAGAGGTCCAGCCCACAGATGTCCCACCACCAGTCTCCACTTCTGGAATCTACTACTCTGTGTCTGCTCAACCTAACACAGAAACCAGTTTCCAAGGTAAGCACAGATGGCAAAAGGGAACAAGATTAGCATCATAGAAAAGAAGGGATGAATTTGCATCTGAATAGTGGAGAGCCCACAAATACAGTTTTAAGTCCTGAGCCTCTACCACCTCACTCACAAAGTGACCTCTATTTTTAGGCATAAGCCAGAGAGGGCTGCGAGTATGGCTCAAATGATGGAGCTCTGAACTCACTTCAAACCTCAGTACTGCCATTAATTTTGTTGAATAATTAAACAAATACATAAGAATTTATGGAAAAGTGTGAAGGACAGCTGTGCTGCCCTTAGTGTCACCAAAAGCACACTCAGTGAGGCCATGCTGTTCATTGTCCTTGAAATCCACTCCCTCTAATTAATCCCCTTCTTTATTTAGTTCTTTGGTTTCATTGGAAAATATATCAAAAAGTAATTGTGGTAGTAACACATGAATTTCCTTTACTTGCATTTATTCCTTCCCAAAGGAAGCAGGTCAGAAGATGTATCTTTTGTGTATTTTGTAGGCAGGAAGTCCACTCGAGTTGAGCACCAGTGGCTCATGTATGTGGCCTAGCTACTGAGGAGACTGATCTGAGGCCTGAATTCCAAAGACATCTTGAAAAGTTTTTCAACATCTTATTTTCAGGTCACAAACCAATGCAGACAATAGACACCAAAATGAAGTAATAATGCAGCAGCCCTAAGAAAAAGTCAAGCAGCAAAAGAAGAAAGGCTGAAGTTAAGCTGCAGAATCATTGAGAAATGCACACACAGAAATGCACTCAAAATACACTAAAGGTTCCCCCCCATGCCCGTTCTCTCACTTTAGGGTTAGAATCAACACATAAAATTGAGTAACCAGTATAAAAATATGAGGCTTTATAAAGTTGTTTTTTTGTTGCTCATGGGCTTGACCGCAGAGTCAAGAACATAGTAAGCAACCACTCTATCTCTGATCTGACAAGAAGTACAATCATTTCCTATTATTTTTTTGTCAGTCATGGAGCTTGAACTCTGGTCCTGGGCACTGTTCCTCAGCTCTTCAGCTCACGGCAAGTGCTGTGCCACTTGAACCACAGCAACACTTGTGATTTTCAGATGGTTAACTGGAGATAAGCGTCTCATGGATTTTCCTGCCTGGGCTAGCTTTGAATCATGATCCTCAGATCTCAGCCTCCTGAGTATCTAGGAATACAGATGTGAGCAACCGGTGCCAGGCTTCATTTCCTATTTCTAAAGCTTCTTTTTTTATTTCACTTACAACAAACCTATAAAGGAAAAAGAAGAGAAATAATGCCATCTAATTAGCATGTTTTATATAGAGTAGTTATTATATATCTTCTTAGAGTCCTGTCCATGATCCTTAAGACCAGATCCTAGAAACACCTTGCCCAGTGATGAAAAAATGCCATTAAATTATTGGTGTGTGAATGGAAGATCTACCGGGACTGATTTCTGTCCAGATTCCTTTGTACTGCTAGAAACTGCTAGAAACTTCCACATTCCTAAAATTACAATTTCCAAGTAAGAAATTTTGTCAGCCAGACATTCCAGACAGCCCAAAGGCCTATAAGCATAAATACTGAAGTCATGGAGAAAAACGTGTCACCTGAACTTGGAGACATTTCAATAAGAGATCTAATATTAAACACTTCTAATATCTTGGCTGTGCCTCCAGCAAAGCCAGACATAAACAGAAAATAAACATTCAAACAAAAATAAAGAAAAATTTTCAAAGGCTCTGGTTGCCTTCTAGAAAACCATAGAAAGCTGGGATGTTTGACTATTCTCTTCAGAAATCCCTGACATTTAATGTAGGTGCAGGTCAACATTAACCTTAGGGAAAAGAGAGAAGTCTATATATGATAGAGCCAATTTGGACATTTTGAGTCTTGAGGACAAATGGAATTGACTGTAACAATGGGTGGGCTTATAGACAGTGCTGTGATGGTTAAAGACATTCATTTTAACCAGATATTTCAATTCATTCACAGATCTCAAACAATCCAATGTTTCTACTACAACTGACATCAAAGGCACAGAAACCATCGATGAGATTCTCCTGCAGGAAAACTCAATGGCCACTAAGCATTCCACTGGTCAAGTCCAAAGGAACAAGCATGAAGCCTTGGAAAGTATGGATGGAACTCCTGAGGTCAAAGTCGAATGCCAGCCCCCAGAGCTCCTGCTGGAGGAAGAGGTGACTGTGTGCACCATCCCATCCAGTGAGCAGGCTTCCGTGAACACAGACAAGCATTCTGACAGCAAATCTCCAAAAGCTGCATCCAGCAAGGTCAGCAAAACTAAGAGCCATGCACAGAAAGAGACCAAAAGGATCAGGGAGAACCACCCCAAGAAATGTGATGAAACCAAGCAGCCAGGGAACAAAATCAAAAAAGAAGAAAAGACAAGCATTCCCAAGACCAAGCACAAGAGAAGTCACCCTGAGCTTAGCCAAGAGACCTTCAAAAGGCCTCGAACCAACCTAGGCGTGCAGATGTGGGAGTCAGTGCAGGTTTTCCATGCACTAGGGAAGAAAAGTGAGAAGAAAAAGGAGTTGCCTTCTCCCAAGGCCTTGAGAAATGCCAGCAGCACACAAGAAACCAAGTCCACTCCAGCTGTGAAATGCTGGCTGGATATTCCCCATGAGGGCAAAGGCCCTAAAATTACTCAAGTCAAGAAAAGGGATAGGAGTGAAAGCCAGTGTCCATCACCAACCCAGGATGAGCTGCCTCCACCTGGGAAGGTCAAGCTGGTTCCTTTGCCTTTTCTAGCCCCAGAGAAGCCTCAAGCTCGACCTGTTTCTCGCAGGCCACAGTCTCTGGCCTCCCGGAGACCCACTGTACCTTACCATGCTCTCCCTTGTTCTAACACAGCTCAGCCTACTCCAGTCAGCCGATTTCAACCAGCTACAGCCAACACATGCTTCATAGGTTCCACCAAAACATCACAACCAATTGCAGCCAAAACAGTCAAACAGGGATTGACCACCACTCCCCAGCCTAGTGTGTATCAATCTACCATTGCTAGACCTAAACCCTATGAAACATCATCTTCCACTTCTTGGCAGCAGAAGCCTGTGTCCACTTCTGGGACCAGGTTCCAGTCACCACCTAACCCTCAAAGCCAGTATCTACTCCAAGACTTCAGCCGCCAACCAATTCCATGGAGGAAACCTGATATTCCTGGGCCAGTAGTATCAAATCCCATCACCAAGGAGCAGAGGCCAGAGCGTGAAGCCATGAAAAGGCGGGCCCAGAAAGAGCGTGAAATTGCTGCCCAATACACTGCTTTGGGGAAACTGCAGTTTTTTGCTCAGAGGCAAAGAGATATGGAAGTTTCTCAATATTACGGCTATGTAATGTAAGAGCTGCTGCGATTGTGGGATCCATATTGAATACCAGCTATTTTCCCGTATATATTTATATTCAAAGATATAAACACTGATATAGACATATGATATATAGATATATTGATATACATAGTTTTTGATAGAATAAAATTATTTTAATGTACTTAAACTCAATAAAATTGAACAATTAAATGTAATGGAATTGAATATAAGATTAACGAAGAAGCCATTTGAGTTCTATGATATTTCCAAAGTTTTGCATGATTTTGGATAGAGGTTGGAATCAAAGGTTGCATTGGAAAGAAGCAACTGAATTGTGTGGGTCACAGGGGAGGGTAAGGAAAAGGTTTAAGCACAGCAGAACTAACACAGTCCACGAGTAGGACAGAAAAAGATATTATATAGGCTCTTAGCATAATCATAGATCAACAATGTGTTAGAAGACAAAATTTGAAAATTTAACAAAATTTTAAAAAGTTTAAAAAATACAAGTTAGAAAATATTAAAAAGTGGCAGAAGAGTTTAGGAGAACTAAGAAATGTAGACCTTTATGTCTTATAGCCGCATATGGGGAAAAATCCACTTTGAAGCTAGGATGTCATGACTCTTGCTTGTAATCCCACATCAAAAGACTGAATATAAAGATGGAGATTCTAAGGCAGCAATGGCAGACAAGTCACAGTCTCTTGCAAACTGAGCAGCAAAGAGAGAAAAGAGGAGCTCAGGCTCATCTGGTAATGCAGTAGTACTGAATGAAAAAGCTAACTGAAAACACACTGGCCCTAAATTCTATCATCAGCAGTGGCACACAACACACACACACACACACACACACACACACACACACACACACACACACACACACACACACTTTAGTACAACATCAACAGTCATGACTTATCTAAGATTAGAAAAGGAAAGGCAAATACATCATATAGGAGAATATACCAGAGACAACCAAGGGCTTATTGTTATCCTGGGTACATTGGCTAACCTGGGGCCTCGCCAAGTGAATTACAGAAGCATAAAGCCCACCCAGAATATTGAAGTAAGGCCAGGTCTGGCTGGCACCATATTGGCCACATGGTGGAGGGTAGGGTCTGGCATCTTGTCTTCATGCTGGGGGAAGGAAACGCCCCCCCCCTCCCCCGCATTACCTGCCTCCCTGGTAATGGGCATGTCCGGACCCCTGGAGGCAGGGGCAGGTACTTGGTGGATAGGTTACTGAATCTGTCAGTCCAGTGCCTGGGACTGGGAATTTCCTGAGGATCTGCCCCCTGCGCAGACCTATTTAGGCCTCACCAGCCTAGCTTGCCAGGGCTCCATGCCCCGTGTGTCTCCTTGATTGTGTCCTGTGTCCTGTCTCTTGGCTCATCTCCAGTCATGATGGAGTTCCAATTCAGCTCTCCATTGGAGCTGAATTGGCTTGTTGGTATTGTTCTTGTTATTTCTTTCCTCTACTACTTCAATTAACCACCAAACACACAAGGCCAGTATCACTGTTCCACTTGATCAGTGAGGTTTAGCAATGGGCTGAGATCATATTAAATGCAAAAGTCAAGGCCTCCAATGGAGACCTCAGGCTCTGAATTCCTGAGATTTCAAGAGCGCTGGGGCTTCCAATCTGGCTTTCCTACTGAAATTCTGGAGGTTATGGGTAGACAAGATCAAACATATGAAGTGGATTAAATACTAAATGAGGGGCCAAGTCCTACACTGCTCATTCTTGCAGGTGTTGCTTTCCTATACCATTCCCAGCAAAGGAAGAGCACCAGCAATCTCTTCTCCTGGAGCCCATTCCAGGAGAACCCAGGGGAACAGACCACCAAGAAGCCGATTCCAAGGCAAGTACATGAGAGTCATTTATTGCAAGCTTGAACCTGGACTCACAACCGTCCCCCACGCAGCGGGGCAGAGTTGGGAGCCCTGACCCTTCCTCTAGCAGGGTTTTTATAGTGCTTTTAGGCTCTCCTATGCATCATTGCAACACAACAAATCATATCACACCATGGGAAAAATCATAAAATAATTCTAAAAGATGATTAGTGTAACCAGTGGCGGGAACTGACCAGGATTGGCTGGTTCATGGGGTTGATGCTCCTTGAAATGACTGGCTAAAGCAGATGGTCTGAGCCGCAGACCTAGTGGTCTTTAACATCTGGAACTTTCGGTTTTTCCTGTTATCTGCTGATTAGCTGTAGTTAGTAGAATTTGCTGTAAAGGAGGTTGTTCCTGGAATTTGGGCTCAAGGGGATCCAGGGGAGTTGCTGACACATTTCCTGAATGAAATGGAATCCAAACCTAAAATTGCTATATTTTGTTCAGACTTCACACATGCACAGTTACTGCACTCAAGCAGCAGGGGCCTGTGTTCAAATTCTGTGCCCATGAGAGGCACATCTGGAGGGAGAGTGGGTAATGGGGCCTGAGAGAGAACAGGAAAGGAGAGTAGAGTAGGAGAAGGACATAATATGGAGGATCATCATGGTAAAATCACTGAACTGTGATTAAAAACATTTCTTGAGCTAGATGTCATTGACTCATGCCTGTAATCCTAGCTACCCCAGATGCTGAGGCCTGAGAATTCCTCTTCAAAGACAGCCTGTGCAGGAATTGTCTGGGAGACACTTACTTCCAATTAACCTGCAAAAAGCCAAAAGAGGAGCTGTGGCTGAAGTGGCTGAGACCTAGCCTTGAGCAAAAGCTCAGAGTGCCCAGGTTCTGAGTTTAAGCCCCAGAACCATATAAAAAAAATCACTTCTTGTGATATTACTCATCACACTCACCATTTTTAAATGGACCCTGAGATGGAGCCCAAGCTGGTAAGATTCCATTTTGAGCTTTGCCTTTGTTTTAGGGATTTAGACTCGATGAGCCTAGTTCCTGGAATGAAAAAAAAAATGCATCTGTTTTTCTTCATAGAGGTCCTTCACTTCTTCGGTTAAGTTAATTCCTAGGTATTTTATTTTTTGTGGGGCTATTACGAATGGAGTTGCTTTCCTAATTTCAGCCACACTTTTCTCATTGTTGGCATACAGAAAAGCCATTGATTTTTGAGGGTTAATTTTATACCCTGCTACTTTGCCAAAGTTTTGAATCAGCTTGAGTAATTTGGGAGTGGAGTCTATGGGATTCTTTAAATACAAGATCATGTCATCTGCAAGAGGGAGAGTTTTACTTCATCTTTCCCTATTTGGATCCCCTTTATGTTTGCATCTTGTCTTATTGCTGTAGCTAGGCATTCTAATACTAGATTGAAGAGAAGTGGAAAGAGTGGACATCCTTGTCTCGTTCTTGAGTTAAGAGGAAATGACTTTAGTTTTTCACCATTACGTATAAGACTGGCTGTAGATTTGTCATATACAGCCTTTATTGTATTGAGGAATGTTCCCTGGATTCCTAATTTTTCCAGAACCTTCATCATAAAGGAGTGTTGGATCTTGTCAAATGCTTTTTCTGCATCTATTGAGATAACCATGTGGTTCTTATCCTTGCTCTTTTTGATGTGATGAATTATATTAATTGATTTGCGTATATTGAACCAGTTTTGCATCCCTGAAATAAATCCTGTTTGATCGTGGTGTATGATTTTTTGGATGAATTGTTGAAGTCAATTGGCCAAAATTTTGTTGAGAAGTTTTGCATCGATGTTCATCAAAGAAATGGGTCTAAAGTTCTCTTTCCTTGATGAGTCCCTGCCTGGTTTTGGGATGAGGGTTACGATGGCTTCATATAAAGAGTTCGGTAGCGAACTTTCTCTTTCAATTTCATTGAAGAGTTGGAGGAGTATTGGTGTGAGCTCTGCTTTGAAGGCCTTGTAGAATTCTGCTGTAAATCCATCTGGTCCTGGGCTTTTCTTAGATGGGAGGTCTCCTATTGCTGTTTCTATTTCAATACTTGATATGGGCCTGTTAAGATGGTTTAACTCATCTTGCTTTAGTTTTGGCATGTCGATATTTGCTAGGAAAAAGTCCATTTCTGCCAAGTTCTCAAACTTATTAGGTTTGAGAAGTAATCCCTTATAATGTTCTGAATCTTGGTTGTTTCTGTGGTGATGTTTCCATTCTCATCTCTGAGTATTTATTTGGGTGTGCTCTCTTTCTGATAAGATTTGCTAAGAGTCTGTCAATTTTGTTAATTTTTTTGAAGAACCAACTCTTTGTTTTGTTGATTCTTTCTATGTTTTTTGAGGTTCTAATTCATTTATTTCTGATTTAATTTTAATTATTTCTTTCTGTCTACTGGATTGGGGTTTATCTCGCTGCTCTTTTTCAAGGAGATTCAGATGTCTCATTAAATTGTTGGTTTCAAATCTCTCCAATTTGTTGATGCAGGAACTCAGAGCTATAAACTTGCCTCTGAGTACTGCCTTAGCTGTGTCCCAGAGGAGCTGGTAATTTGTGTGTTCATTTTTGTTGAATATCATGAACATTTGAATTTCCTTTCTAATCTCTTCCATGACCCACTGGTGATTCAACAGTGTGTTGTTCAGCCTCCATGTGTTACAGGACTTTCTTTGGTGGCTTTTGGTGTTGAGTTCTAATTTTATTCCCTTGTGGTCTGAGAGAATGCAAGGTATAACTTCAATGTTTCTGAATTTGGACAAGTTTGCTTTGTGACCTAAAATGTGGTCTATTTTGGAAAATGTTCCATGTGCTGCTGAGAAAAAGTGTATTCTGATGCTGCTGGGTGAAATATTCGGTAGATGTATGTTAAATCTACTTGTTCTATGCAGTTGTTTAGATCTGTGGTTTCTCTGTTGAGTTTTTGCCTAGTTGATCTATCTAGTGGGGATAGTGGTGTGTTAAAGTCCTCAACAATTAATGACTTTGGATCTATGTGAGATTTGAGAGAAAATTGTGTTTCTTGGAAAATGTGGGTGCTCCGTTGTTTGGCGAATGGATATTTAGAATTGTAATATCCTCCTGAAGGAGAGATCCCTTGATTAGTATGTAGCGACCTTCTTTATCTATTCTCACTAATTTTAATTTGAAGTCTATTTCATCTGATATTAG